TTCGTCATAATAAATTCTCACGAGGGTACTTCAAAATTCAATTCATTCACTCTTCAAAACTAATAATAATAATAATAATACTCGTACCTTATATATTAACGATATATCGATCGTAAAAAACTATTCGATACCTATATATATAAACACTTTAATACGATTGTTATATCGAACGATTCGATTTTATAATTATTATGACGTCACGTAATAAGAGAGAGAGAGAGAGAGAGATTATATTTGTTTTATAATAATCCTCAAATCTATAAAATTCAACAAAAATCGATAAAAAAAAAAAAAATGTTTTTATTTAGAAAGTTATAAAAAAAAAATGTAAAGATGATTTCGAAAGTAATATATCTAAATATTTAAAAAAAAAAAAAAAAATTTAAATATAAAAAACACTGGTTCCATTTCCCGGCAAATGTTTTTTATTGGTCGTTTCAGGGCTCGAATATCGTCGGTTATGGTTTCGTATAAACCCTAACAAACAACAACCCCCCCCCCAAAAAAAAAAAACCTTCTAGAACATAATCTAAAATATTAGCCTTCAAAATTTTTAAGTTTTTTTTTTTTTTTTTCGTAAATACGATATTTCTATTTAGAATCAACCTCTCTCTCTTTCCTTCTCTCTCTCTCTCTCTTTCCTTCTCCCTCTCACTCTCTCTCTCTTTTTATCCTTTCGATACCTAATTTCGATTTCTAACAATTTCCGTACAAAATTCCGAGACAATTTTTTTTTTCTTTTTTTTTTTTTTTTCCTGCATACAATTAAAAGAAAAATTCAATTAATAAAAGAAAGAGAGAGAGAGAGAGGGGAGGGGTGGGAGGAAAAAAAAACTCATTAGTTAAATTAGAGAAAAAAAATTACATCTGACAGGTGCTGAAGGTGAAAAGAGAGAAAGAGAGAGAGACATTCGAAAAGGTGAAACTTATACAAAAGAAAAACATTTGCTCTCTCTCTCTCTCTCTCTCTCTCTCTCTCTCTCTCTTATTGATGCCAAAATCAAAAAATTCAATTAAGAATTAAAAAGGTGAAAAAAAAAAAAAAATGGCTGACGTTAAGAGACGGAAAAAGTTTTAAAAAGGATTCCGGGGGGTGGGCAGGGAGGAGGAACGGGGGGTGAATTGCGGGGGTCGAAGGAGGCGGGGGGAGGAACGGGGGAAGAAAAATTAAAAAAAATCACGAGAGCGAAATCATAATTGTGAACTTTTCCTTTTCTTTTTTTTTTTCTTATTTAAATTCGATGAATTAATAAAAAAAAAAAAAAATCTTTCGGAACTGCCAACATTTAAAAAAAAAAAAAAAAATTTTTTTTCTACCCTTTTTACGTGCAAACGAATGAACCCATTTCACGAAAAATAAAACAATAAAAATTTTTTTTTTTTTTCTTTTTATTTCCTTCCATAAATTCTACAATTTGACCTTTGATCTAACCACGACACTAAATAAAAACATTTTATTATCATTATTATTATCACATTTATGCAACGTCATCATCATCATTATTATTTTTTTCACCTTTCAAACCCCCCCCCACCTATTACCGTCGTTTAACTTTTCCCAAAAAATAAACATGTAAATAATTATCATCATCATCATCATTGATTTTTATTTTCCTTCCTTTTTTTTTCTTCTTCCACGTCAAATAACGACTTTTCTCGTATTTCGTTAATAATAATAATAACATTATATGATAAAAATCAAACTAATAAAAAAAAAAAAAAAGAAAATGAAGGGGAGCCATAAGGCAACATTTGAACAATAATTCAAT